ACTGCCAAAAGTTCTGGGAGCTCTACTTGTGTTTAACAACTTGGACCCAGGACGTTCAACATCTTCCAAACCAAATCCAAACCAAAATCACCATCTTGAATGCGTGCAAGCCATGTTCGCTCAGCTGGAACTTGTTCACCCCTAAATATACGATGACTTGCGGCTGAAGTTTTCTTCATATTACAGTAATACATATAAGAACGCACCGCAAAAACACTTTTTCAGGCAGTAAGTTCGACATATTTGAGTGAAAATAAAATTATTACTGTTTACGCTTCAAATGTATGACATAAAGTGAAAAAGACGCAGCAGAGAATGTAAAATATAAAGAAGGTCCAACTACTATAATATACATTCTCTGGACGCAGCTTTCCAACACTTGTTCGAATTAGTGGATAAATTGAATAATTTAAAGCAAATCTTGACAAACCGCATAAAGCTAGTTATAGACTCAATAATTGCCTTCACTAACAGTTCAATAATAGTACGAAGTTTGCTCGTTCGTTTCGCTTTCACAATTAAATTTCGCGCAATCTGTGCGTTATTGGCTTAAAACTTGAAAAAAAAACGCTCGTTGTCTACATATTTCTGTTCGAGAGTGTCTGTGTATAAAATAAGAACAGCACTTGCTTATACTTATGCAGCAATTTACCATACCTGTCTTCCTGTGTTTATTCTGTATTTTCTTCATTTGTTGCCACAATTTCAAAATTCAATTGCACGCTACTGCGCACAATTCGCTGCCGGTTGTTGTTGTGTCTTATATTTTGATTTTATTGCAATGGCATTTTCGGTTTGTTTAATTTTCAAATTAAACCGACCAACATTTTATTCACTTCAAGTTCACTTGACCGTTTTTGTTTGCCAGTCCATTTAGCAGTGGCACTGATTCCCTTTCGTACTGTATTGTGTATCGTCGTATTGCTGTCGTACAAATATTTGCCGATACAATTACGTTACATATGTTCACATTTGTACAAAATATAACACTCATGACAACAGTAACAACAATGCATAACATAAATGTATTAAGAGCAATAATATTTATAATAGCAACATTTTATTAGTTTGCGGTTGTTGTTGTTGCGATTGTGCGGTGTCACTTATGCCATTAAACAAGCCCTTCTATTTATATGTGCATATATATGTACATGCGGGCATATGACACATTAGATTAGTCCATATTCGTAGTTATATCTATGTGAAAACACATTTGCAGTTACACACACATACATATATACATACATAAATATATATATATACATATATATATACTTAATGACCAGATTATAAATGCATTCGTTCACAGGCTGGTTGTCCTTTTGACCATATGCGTCATACCCACTGCAAATACTCAGCAAGTGCTGCTACCGCTACTTAAGTGCCCGAAGATGTTCGTAAGCAGGCAAGAAAGAAACCAATGGCTAAAGAAGCGACAGTGGAGTACCAACAGATTTTTCAATGCGGCATATGTACTGATTATTTCCAACAGGATTTAAGTTTAAATAGTAGTCAATATTAACAAAATTTATTGAAGTTCAGTAAGCAGACTTTTAAAAATTTTAGCAAAATTTGAGGAAAGCACTTGAATTATTTTTTTTATTATTATATATAGAGCAAAAATCGGGATAAAGTATAAAAAAACAGAAAATCAAGTGATAACTTCATCACAACAATCATAACGGTTATGTGCAGAGCTACAAAAATGGCGTTGATTGTCTAAGCAATAAGTTCTAGTCTAGAAATTTGAAAAATTCGCAAGTTATTTTCTTTTATATTTAGACATTTTAAAATATCTCCCTTAAAGCAACGTTTAAAATTTAAATTGTTTTCAAAATTATGGCAGTTTTAGTCTTAACTTAAGGGACATACCTAATGTGACAGCTTTTTGGGTATTAAAACACCAAACTGCTATATCAATTGTGCAAAAATTGTAAGGGTATATTTATACATATTTTAAGAATACATAATGGAAGTTTTGAAGGTCCGCCACTGCGGCAATGACAATGAATGAGAAGGTCCTTCAACGTAGTCTAAAAAAATTCTTTACTAGGAGATATTGTCTGCACAATGAACTAAGGTCGAAAATACGAAAAATTTAAAAAAAGCAAACAAAAAAAATTTTTTTAATGTTGAATTTTAGCAATTTTTTGTCGTTTTTGGCAGGCCAAAAACTGGTAGGTTTCCGAATAATCACCAATGCAAATTTGAAAAATTAAGTTTTTAGAAAAATGCATTTAAAGTTAAACTGATAAAACTGATTGAACTGAGCGGCTACACTTTGAAAGGTTGTAACTCAAAAACATTTTGAGATAACAATTTTAAATTAAGATTTAAAATTAATAAATGCTTTTAATTTCGCACTAGGTGTGTCCTTTAAAACGTTAAACGCGTGTTTTCTCGCAACCAATTTTTTAAATGTGAATAAACAAAACAAAAAAATAAAAATTAAATATTTTTTGAGTTATACAAGATCTCCAACGGCGCTATAAAAAAGTTTTCACTACTGGACAGATCGCGGCCTTCTGCGTGGATGAAACCTAAGAATAACAAATTCTCGTTAAACTAGAGATTCGCTGTTCAATGACCAACGATAAAAAGAAACCAGAAATTGACAAAATGGCGGCGTTTTAAAAAATTCAATTTTACCACAAATTTTCGACGTTTTCCGACTACCAAAAATCGATTTTGTATGAAGGTAGAATTATATGCAGAATATTTGTCTTCGAGTTATCACTGCAGTAAATTTGAAAAATGTAGTTTTGAGAAAAACGTGTTTAAAAATAAATTGATGAAGCTGGTTGCACTGAGCGGCGACACTTTAGAAGCCTGTAACTCAAAAACTATTTGAGATAACGATTTAAAATTTTAGTATGTATCGAATTATGAAAAAAAAATTTCAAAACTTTACATAAGGTCAGCCCCTTAAGAGAAGTTTCCCACTTCACAAATAGTTTCGCCGCTTATATTCGAATTGAACTAAAATTTGTCTGTAATATGCCTTAAGATATAGTTTAAAAATGTGTGAAATCGTAGCCTTAACCACGCCCACATCGCCAATAATGCTATTTTGTAAGACGCTCATTTCACTCTGCAAAACACTGAAACTAAATTGGACATAAATATAGTCAACATATATTTAAAAATGGTCGAAATGTATATCTGTATAACTTTTATAGCTTTCTTATACCGCATAACATAAGTCGTAGTGAAGGAAGTGAAACTGCTTATGTTTTATCCAAACATTTGACTCATTGGTTATTCGACGTGTCGCGAAAAGTTCGAATTTTTTCCACTTTCCAACAAAATTTGGTCTAAACAAACCCATTTATGGTTTTTTTCTCAATCTCTCTTTTTCATTATAGCTAAATTTAAATCTTTTCCTATTCTTTTAAGTTTTCAGGCTCTTTTAGTTCTAATATCGAAATTCTTACTTATTCGAGTTAATTTACTCTGATGTTCACTCTTATTGCCACGGACCACACTCTTTACCATAACGGCGAAGCACACGAACGTGCCAAGTTGTATACGCCGAAGGCTTTGTCGTTGCTAGCACTTCCTAATAACATACTTACGAATATGGCTACATATGCAGGTTTTAGCCTCTTGCACTGAGCGGTCAAGCGGCTTAATGCATTAGCTGCAAGAATAATTGCATTTCATTGCTATATTATTATATTCCGTTAGTTTTTACTTTTTCTTTTATAATTGCTTAAAAGCATGTGAAGTATAGTAAGTATTTTTTAGTAGTGTTTCTTATATCCACTTGTCATTTACATCAATATATATACATAAATATATAAATAGTTATCTGAGTTAACCACTATAAAGGCATTACGAAACTCTTCTAAACTTTTTTTTTCGAGAATATAAGCTCAAACCGAACTCTGCCCTTATATAGGCTCGATATCATTTAACTAGCAAGAACGTAGCTACCGATACGGCGAACTCGGCTTAGCTGTTCGATGCTGTTAGTTGAATCTGTGGTGTTGAACGCAGGAAGCGAAAGATTTATAGATGTTGCTAAAAAAATAGTAGCACAGGAAAATATTTTCTGAAAAAGTTAAAGAGAAACATAGAGACACCGCTACTTAATTTCAGAAGGATCTACCTTATTTATAATGCATAGTCGTGCCTCTGCAACTGGAAAACTCACATTTGTATAGCCGGTCAAGAGCTGACACCTGAGCAACTGCAGAAGGTCCAAATTTATATAAAAACTGACACTTCAGAAGCATACTTAGAAACTGTGCGGAAGATCACGCCCACTTAACATTGAAACCGACTAAGTCTGAGAACATTTTAACTGTTTATACACGTATTTTATAATATATTTTCGGCGATTTCTAAAAAAAAACTTTCTGGATTTATGAAATGGTGTCTTGAGGAGAAGAAAAATGTAAGTCCTAATAATGTAATATAATATAGGTTTCGTTCTAAATATATGTATACTGTTATAAGACTCATAGCAGTATGGAAATTAACAAGAGAGAGCATGAAGAGTGTGAAGGGGGTAAGGCTTTATTATTTTATAACAATTTAAGAACAAATTTGTTTAAATAAAAGGGTAAAAGTTCGGGGACTTCGTTTGGGTGATGTATACAAGGATGGAGCGAAAAAAAAACATTTTTTTTGTTTGCTTAGCCTGGGGTAAAATCTGTAGAATATAAAAAAAGAAAATTTTCGGACAAAAAAAAATTTGTTTTAACACCTAAATTTCGAGTTAAAATTTTTTTGGACAAAAAAATAAATTTTTGGTTTAAACTCTTCACGTTTATATAAAATATACCGAATTTGACGGTTTTTGAGTCAAAATTTATTTTAACGCTTAAGGAAAGCATGTGGTCTTATAAGACTTTTTTTAAAACTCCAATAATGACCAAAGAAATTTTTTTTTTCGCTCCACCCTAATATATACCTACAAATATAAGCAATTTTTAACTTTCTGAGACACAATTTCTAAATGATACATTATTTTCTTAATTCTACTCTCTTTATAGTCATTCACGATGTTACCGTTGTATTACTGGAGCCAAAGTTCTTAGATTCGTTGATTGTCGGCTCGACACACCACAATTCGCAGTTACTTACCGTCGATCATTGTAAATACATGTTAAATGATGTTGCCACCTCATCAATTATGCGTCTCGATAAAAGTTCAATGGATAAATTATGGAATCTCATGACAATGATTTACAAATGGCAACTTTTTAACTCGAAGCATCCACAACATTTACTCGATATAACTTTCAGACACTTGGACGCGATTTGTCGGCTGCGACCCGATGCACAACGTACCATGCTAGTCGATTTCACCAAGAATGTCTTGCTCGATTTCTGGAATGTTCTGAGTGATGATGGTCAATGGGGCGTCTATCAAACGAATAAAGCGTGGCTACAATGTTTCAATACGAAAATATCATTACTCATACGCCTCGGTTTCCAAAATTTAGATGGCACTTTTGTGCGCGCCGTAGAGGCTAGCTATTATCAGGAATTCGTCGATACTATCGGTGAGAATGTGTATGTGAAGAGTGTTGATATTGCCGAAGCACAGCGTCAAGAGCACATTGGTACGTGCGCGTCGACGAAGCAACATGTTGATCAGCTGGCCGAGTTATTAAATTTTCCGCAATCGGATAGCGAAGATCTACAACCAATCGATGCAACTAGTTTTCAAAAACAATTCGAACAGAATTTGCAACAATGCAATATTTTATTTTTCGATTTAGATGTGAATGAAGCGACGACAACAAACAGCAGCGGTGGCGGAGTTGACAGCAACGACAAGCTGCATGCGGTTGAGAAAGATGCCGCAACGGCGCATGACTTAGTTGGCGCTTACGGTAATAGTGAGATATTACCCGATTCATCGACGATGTTGTCGACGCCAAAAAGACGAGCGCAAGGCGAGTTCGTGCAATTGCCGGCGGTGTATAATCGTAATGCGGACGCTGGGCGCGCCGGCGCTTTGGGTTTAAATCGCGATTTGCTCGATTTATATAGCCAAATACTTTAAGTGGACGACGGCAACAAGCGCGCAATAAATGGTTTCAGCATGCGCATAGATAAATCTATATTAGGGTGCGCAAAAAAAAAGTGAATTGTTTTTTTCTTAGATACCGTGAAAGTAGCGTCCAAAATCACGAAAAAAAAGTCTGCTAAAGTTTGAGCTCTTGAAAATAATACTAACAAGTGGCGCAATGTAATTTTTGATTTCCCATATATTTAATACAGGCATATTTTCTTTTGTTTATATTATTATTGTATAGTGAAAATTAAACCTTATTTTTATTTTTAATCTTGTTGACAATTTAACGAGCTACAAAAATGGTCCAAGATGATTTTTTGTTAAGTCCACGCGTTCAACCGTTATTCAAGGTCAAATTCAAACCTTAATTCGTAAAAAAATAATTTGTAACATTTTTTACATGATTACACAAAATAATGCCGCAAAATTATAAAATATATTATTGTTTATGATTTTTGTTGTTTTATTCGTTATTATCGTTATTAACATTTTTTTCGTCATCTCAAGCGTTATTTTCACGGTATCTAAGAAAAAAAAATGTAAGTTGATTTTTGGCCCAACCCTAATGTTTGTATGTGTTTACCTACATAAATAAATGTATGGAGTTGTGCGTAAAAAAAGCAGCTGTTATGCGCTGTTAGTTTCATCTATTAAAATAAATTTTATTTTATTATTTTTTTTTCATTTGGGTTTGCTTTGTGAAGTTAGTGTTGTTGCTTTCTTGTTTACTTAATATTCGTTTCGTTTACTTTTTTTGTTTTGCTTTGCTTTTATATCTCTTGAATGGCTTTAACATACAATAAAATGCTTTAGAATAAATTAGAAATTACATGGTTTGTTAAAAACAAAAAACTAATTAAATAAACTATAAAATTAAAACAAAATTAAAGAACGCACCGAAGTGCACTAAATGTATTGAAAATATTTAAGAATAAAAACTAGAAATAATGAAAATTTAAAAATAATATTTTTCATTTATACACGAAATTGATTAGAAATTGTTAAGAAACCTTTTGTGTGTATTTTCAGTCATTTAACATTACTTGCATGAAATTATACAATTTGTTTGAGTTGTTAAAAAATATGTAGCACTTAGCAAGTTAATGCGGATTGTTTTGAGTTATAGATACGGCAATAAGTGATAAATTGAAAAATATTTTATTTTTTTTTCGAAAACTATGTTAATATCAGCTGATTTCGGCTTAAACGCTACTTTAATAAAAATTATGATTTAAGAAATAACGTCAAATTTCGCATTTTCTACAATTCAAAAAATATAAATAAGTGACAAATTTTTGTTGCAATTAAATACTTTTTACATAGCTTTCGAATGTCATATAAATCTCTTTTTTATATCAAATAAAACATTTTTGTATACATACTTTATATGTAAGTCAACAATCTTGCACGAATCGCCAAGAAATAATGTTACTAAAAATGCATAATTAATTAAATTAGGCAAACGCGTCTCGCTTTTAATTTTTCCAATTATTTTGCTACATCTTTAATTGTTGTTCGAATTTGTAATATTGTTTTATCGTACGTCACAGAAAATATACACAAAAAGCTTTTGCAAAAATATATACTTCAGCAGCATATATAAGTTTTTAGTTAAGACTAAATGAAATTGTTCAATATGTTAATATAATAATATTTTATATAAAACATATGTTGTGTGGTTTTGTTGGCCTTATACAGATGCAAAATGCCGCAAAACGAATACATTACTTGTTTTTTTCTTTTAATTTCATATACCTACAAACCACTGCACACAAATATTTCTATACATATGTATGAAAGTGAAAAGTTGTAACAATTATTTTTTGCAATCGGATATGGTTTTTATGCGTGCATTCTTGTGTGGCCACACCAAAAAGGTGTTAAAAACGCTGCCGCACTAATGCTTCCCAGAGTGTCGGTTATTATGCAATCCACTCCACTGACTGTGCAACACTTTGAGCGCAGAATAAATTGCTAGGTTTCCGTAATACTCGCCACATACTACTTGTAGTATTAATGTGCACACTACGTGAAACATGATAAAACGTGTTTTTGAAAAAAAAAATTAAAGTCCTTTACGCCACATCGATATCATCATTTATGGCAACATATTTCAACGTCTATATATATATATACTAAATATATGCAAATGCATCTTGTTGTGTGTTGATGTTGTGTTCAAAATGTATGAATCAATTGAAAATCAAACAAAAAAAAAACATAAAATTTGACTTATTGCAAGCGAACTATGTTAGCATACACATGTTGCGTGCCTGTGGCTAGATGTGTGTTTCTGGTGGCTGAAGCAGTTTACATTTTTGCTTTTAACGGCACCGCATCGACGAGTATATGCAATGCCATTTTTAAGCATTCCTCTGCAGAGCTGATTTGGGCGCAGGGATAGGAGTTCGCATATTTCGTCAGGAATTCACAGTATTTACGGTAATTATCCATTGCGAAATCGTAGTCATAACGTATCAGACTGTCATTGTCCGTCTCATCATTCACATAGGGCACGGTCATTTTAGGTTGCAGACGCGCATAGTTGGGGTAGTCGTTAACGCAGGCTTCACATTTACACGTGAAATGATATTGCATAGATAGTTTTTGTATACGCTGCGCACGTGTAGTGACGGCAAAATGTACACTACAAAAAAAAAAATAAAAAATGCGTTATAAAAAAAAAAAACAAATGCACGTGAGAAACAATGTATATTTAAAAATAATTTCAAATTGTAACGATACGCACCCATATGTGTCGTACAGCACTCCGCCGACAGGTATTGGACGGAAGACAAATAGATATGCCTTTGTGCCCAGGTATACGCGTAGTGTATTCGGTGCACACGAATGATTGAGCAGCGAAAGAAAGGCAAAAGCACCTGATGAATGTGTGGTATCGTCATTTGTCTCATTTACCTGTTCCACCAAATCGATGCCGTGCATATTGGATGGCGATGTCTGCAGATGTCTGAATAGTAGCTCAGTGAAAAAGTTTTCGCCTTCTTCGCCACCAAGATATTCTTTTAATGGCGTAAACTCGATAACAAAATGTTTCAGTACTGCGCATACGACCGAGCGCTGAAATAGATCCGATACGGAACGTAAATGTCGATTCGTCACTAGTCCATGTATGGCGCGATAGTGTTCGCGTGGCGTAAAATTCGTAAAGTCCAAGTCGAATGCAGACTTATTTTGATTATCAGGATCCTCACAGAACGCCATCAACTCTTCAATGGTGGGGAAGATTTCAATTGCAGATAGGCCCACGCGCAACGCAATGCCATGAATTTTATTGAACATATTATGCAGTAAATCGATGATGGGACATTCGTATTTATGAAAGGTGGCGACAGCGCGTTCGCGACATTGCTCTGAGCAGAACATCACCGAGCAACAGCTCTCACAGGGTATAAGTGATAAGTAGTTTTCCACTTTGCAGGTGGCACAACGTATATACCGCATCGGTGGCAAGAGTGTTGAACAAAATGGCTCTTCTGTGGCGACAAGATCACCAACGACCAGATCACGTTTCGTGGTGATAAAGCGACCCTCCTCTTCGGTATATTGCATTTCGAGACAATCCGCAATGATGGGTACTTGTGGATGTGATTCAAACGACATTTGAAATTCGTATGGCTGAACATCGGGTGCTTGTGTGGCCAGCAGTTGGCGACAATCATTTTCGCGTTTATCGAGTTTATGCATTAAACGTTCTGGATAATTGGCTTTACGTGCTAGCTCAATATTAACTAGACACTCACGAAAACGTTTCCATTCAAAAAGCACCGCCGAACGATTAGCATATCCGATAGAGAGATTCTCAGAACCAGGCTCCGAATAGCAAATACTTTTATTGTACAGCTCTAATGCCTTCAAAATAGAATATATTAATTAATTTACCGGCTTAATTGAAATAAAATAAACTTACTTGAAAATATTTGCGATTTTTTAGCGAAAATTGTTCGTTTCCCAGCATACGAAACTCGGAGCTCTTTTTATCGCACTTTTCCTCGCGCAGTTTGTTATTTAACATTATTTTGTCGATATATTTAAAATCGATCAGTACATGTTCAACAAAATTAACTTTAGAATAGTTTTCTTTCAGTTCATTAAATTTGCCTGATATTATGCCGATAAGCTTCCAATCGTTCAGCTGCTTGACAAGATCATCACTAACATCATAGACATCCATGTTTGCAACAAACGTGTGGCGTTCGCTTTGCCTGGCAGTTGGTGGTATAGTTACGGTTAGTTAGCGTGTGCAACAATCAAAAAAAAATATAGTTTTTTTTTATATTAGCGATCTCCTATAAAATAATATTGTACAGCAGCCGTATAATGAAAAATCGCGTAATCCCAAATGTAACTTTCAATTGTTATATACGTCCGTACTGCTGGTAGCCGCAAGTGCATGCCGTTCTTTCACCAACAGTTTGTGCGAGAATTTTCTGCTCCCGTTTGACAGCTGCTCGTGGTTGGGGCTCTTATGGCAGCAGCCGCATGCAAAGTCGGCACACTGCATGCAACACACCACACTCTCTTTTAGCTCACAGCACTCAGGGGCCCGTCGTGCACCGCCTGTTTTTCAATAACGTTTTATTGAAGAAATCCGGCAGTTGATCAAATATTTTTCACTTGTGTATGAAATTTCAGCTGACACGTATTAATTTTTATAAAACAATATGTGTAGTTTAACCAAAAAAATTGTATTAAATATATCACAAAAATATATTTGAAGATTTCATCTTCTTTTCCTCGAGCTGTCACAAATGTCAATACGTAACGAGAGTGTGTGCGTGCGGCTCTCGTGGTTTGCTCGTGGTATGCGCCGTAGTGCTGCCATATGGGTGAGTTCGTTGAGTATATATATATCTAAGGTATTGTAATTAAAAGTAGAATTTAACATTTTTCGTGAGTTAGCAGTAAACATCTAAGTGCGCCCAAAAAAATATCAGAAACGCGCTTTATTTTTAATACAAAATTTTTGTTAAGGGTGCCTGCATTTCAAAAATATGTAAGTATATTTATTTATCTTGCGGATGTGGCTATATTTCCAATAGCAACAATGCGGCTTTTTACGAATCTCGAAGCAGTGTTGTGTTTTGATTTTAATTCGTCAAAGATTTGGCATAAACGATTTGTTGAATATTAGGTAACACTAAAATTTAAAAAAAAATTGTATAGTAAAAATTGTGTATAAATAGCAAATAAAATAAATATTAGTAATATATGTAACATTATGCACGAAGATTTTAACGACACTAATTTATTTTTGCCTCTTTCACCCTGTTTTCGTTTAGGCTTTTACTGATAGATGGCGCTGGAGATTCGGTGGTGTTCTTTACTATCCAAACTATACTACTTACCGTAAGGAATTAAATACTACAGAGACTAGCAAGCGGATAACTGACATTTTAAAGCGGTTATCGATTGCCGGTATTTTCAAAAAAACGATTTTTCTTGCATTTTTTTAAAGTAGTCGGCACATTGCGACGTCTATATATTGCCTCAGTTCGTTGACGTATAGTAAGTATATTTTGAAGAGTATCACAATACTAAAACCTGTTTCCACTCTGTAAAATAGAGTTTGATAGCATTGAAGAAAGCGATTGTACCATTTGAACAAAGCAACCTGCTCTCCTGTTTTGTATTCAACTCGCTAAATTTGTTGTTGCTTTCACATTTATATTTTTTTGTAATGAAAGCAGCACTCAAAGATAGCGAGCAGAGAAATGGCGAATAGAAGACGGCTATTATTATCTGATATTGCTTCTAGTATGCTTTATTGATGAAAATGGTATCTACATACGAAAATGTTTAATGAAAAAAAGCTTAAAATATGTTTACTTGTAGCACTGAAATCGCCTACAGCGCATAACCTTAAATGAACTTTAACGCAAAAAGAAGTTCTACAAGAAAAAGTAACATTGTCATAGAGGGTATAACATCATTCTTAACATCAATGCTCTCCAATAGTTTATTTTTCTAGGTTTTGGATTCCTGTATTTGGCGTATTATCTGTTTTCATTTCTTTCAGTTCATTTACAAACGATGTCGATAAGGTAACACTGGTTATTTGACATTTTGCAACTCTTTTGTTATTATCAAAATTAAGAAAATTGAAGAATAATTTAAATATTGAAATAAATCTACAGTTTGTCTGCAAATATGTAAAAAAGAAGAAGAAATCTCTTAATTTCAGTTTGCCTTTGCGAAAATTTTCACTTCTGCTTTTCTTTCAAGCTTTTAATGTTTCCACGCAGATTATATTAAACGAAGGCCGCCGAGTTATTACAGTTCTATTAAAATATGCTCCGGATAGAAAGTACGGAATGTAAAATTATAAAAGTTAAGAATATGCTCATAAAATATTACACACAGTTGTTTGCTAGAACGCGATCAGAGTAAACTAAAAACTTAACTTTTTCACTTCACGTTATTAAACACTTTAGACTTGTGCGCAATTTCAACGGTTTTATGAATGTGCGAATGCGAGTAAAGTTTTTACTTTCCGCAAATTGCTCGAAAATATTGCACTCTTGCAAAGTTTATAGTATAGAGCTTATTTTTTATAAGGAAGACAAGTTTCTTTAATTTTGTTCATTTGTAAATTGTAAGTGGTCGGATCTTATTAGAAAGCTAGGTTATGTAAAGATAAATTCAAATATTGCAGCAGCTGCTAATCTGGTGCCACATCGAGCGACTTGTTATCTAATTTTGATACTGCATCTAGTCCCTTGAACTGCGAAGTTCTAAAACGAGTTCTAGATAAGGCTGAACAGCATGCAGTGTTCCAGCGTCTCTGTTATGTCTACTTCCCTGCACTTTCGGGTGGTCTGAGATCCAGCTACGAGCCATAGATATCGGCGCCCAATCCTTTAACGATTTCTGCAAATGGAGCAAAAAAATTTAAGTAAAAAATGTCAAAATTTAATTTGTGAATTAAATCGTTTATGATATCGGCTGTATCATTTATTGAAAATTGGTTTCAATTTAGTGTGAAAAAGAGCTACGTTCGAACGTCATTGCGTTGTACAACATTCGGCTGCGTATTGGACCAAAACAAATCAAAATTAATTATAAGAAAATAAGTAGTGTATTTTTTGCAAATTTGAGAAAATTTGTCATTGTATGCGTATATTTTTTATACCATTGGAGAGTAGAGATTTTAAGTTAGGAAAAACCTATCGACTTTTTTTTTAAATTTGATATTTTGACGTGAGAATTTTCTAGTGAAAATTAGTGTACTTTTTCGTTATTAAGTCAAAATAATGTGAAAAAATAAATATTTTAAATTAAAAAAATTACAGCGTATATTTGGAATTTAAAAAGGTTAATTTTGACTAAATTTTTTTAAACACATTTTTTTATGTAAAATATAAAAATAAAAAATCAAAATATTGGTTGTTTTCATTTTTCACATATTTTGTGAGGTTATGTGAAAAAGGTGTGAACACAAAAAATGTATATATGTTTATTACCTATAATATTCCAATATATTTTTGTCCCGTAAGACTCGTAGTTTTGCCGGAAATCGAGTTAAACCATTTTTAGCCCTTCAAAACTCAACCACCCCTAGCCTTTCTTTTACCGACCTCAGATCGCCCGTAAATTATGTTTCCTTTAATTTTTTGTTATTTTCTCTTAACTTTCCAATGGTTTTCATTCTTCTATGATTTTTTTGCTTACAAAACTTATTTATTCTGGTCTAAATAGCATGTAAAATCCCTAAAAAATCAGATAGAATTTCATTCAATTCATTTGTTTCAAAAGGCACAAGTCCCTATAATATTCCGCGCATGTAGAGCTTACTAAAAAAAGTAGATGAATAGCTGCCGATATTTTGTATTAAAATGCAGTTTTAATTTACTTACACCCAGAATAAATTATGAAAAATTGTTTTTTTCTTTAGCGCTTTAGGTTCGCCTAACCACTTAAAACTGTTTGTTGGCGAGTAAAGAACAAATTTTATTTGGCCTTAAATATATTTAAAGCATAAAGGCAATACACACCGATTTTTATTTACGCGCACATACTTCTTCCTTATGATATATTAATTTTGCATGTTAAATTAGCGTAAAAACTAAACACGCAGATTGAAGGTTCGTAAATGTGGTTTACCGTAAAATTTTTTCTGGTACTGAGCGGTGGCGGAGAAGTCATAAAAAATTGCCAACCTTTTTGTAATGAAGCAACACACGCATTATACGTACTACTTACCTACTTATTTACATATGTAAATACAGCAAAGCATAGCTTTTTTCCCTTGCCGCTTTTCCCCACTTTTCCGCAAAGAAATCAAATCACTTGTTGAAACTTGCCACTTATGTTACGTTAAGCATTTCCCTGCATTTATATTTTGCAACACAGCCACCAACTGAAGATTTGTCTTACTTAACTTGCGCTCTCGGCACTCTCCTGCCGTATACTCGACATTTATAGCTAAATCTGAGTATTGTAAATTATTTGAAAATGGTTGTCATTAATTTTATGCCTACCAAGTATGAAGTACCATATAAAGCGAATATCAGTGCGTACATTAAATATAATGTATATATATGTATGTATAAATATAAATTTACATACCTATGTATAAATTTACATACCTATGTATAAATTTACATATATATGTATAAATATACGTGTGTGCGGTTAGAATTTAATGCGTGCAAAAGCATTAAGCATCCTTGCGTCAAAGTCATTTAAGTATACGCATATTCTGCTTTCCGCTTCGCATTTGCCGTTAGTGCATACCCTGTAGGAAAACGCGTGCATTCATAATTAAGGCGTCGCTGAGCATTTAGCAGCAACGCTTACGATCTGTGATAGACCCACACGTTTTGAACAGGGGAAACATTTTTTTTTCAGTTTACAAGCAGTTAAATCATGTCGTTAGGACCCAAAAGTCTTCTTTAATTTCAGAAAAATAAAAATTTAGATTTTAAAAAAATCCTAGACTGAGCTAACCTCTTAATTTTAACTCGTTGTCAGTTTTAACTTCAGAGTAAACTTCAAAAGTATTGTTTAAGAGTAAGGACTTTTTGCCAAAAAAAAAAGTTAGATTCTTTGAAAATCCCAGACTAATCTAACCTCTTAACTCCAGCTTGTCGTAATTTCTAACTGTCGATTCTATAATAAGTTGGGCAGAATAACTTGAAATCTCAAGTCGAGTTTGCCGAAAGATTTTTTGTAATTGTTGTTGCCGCGAAAATTGGGTCTACGTAATTGGAACGAAACCAATTTTTTATCTGTTCAAAGACTGTCAAGTCGCCAACATTCCTAAAAATTATTTTGGGAATGTCTTCTGCCGTTGCAATAACAACAATAACACAAAATTCTTGTTGTACTAACACTACTTTAACACGATGTAATGATTTTATATAATCAGTTGAATAGGTCTAGAGTAGTTCAACCGAAGTCGTCTTAATGACAGTTTATATGGCAATGGGATTCAAAATCTTGTTCTTGCATAGAAAACTTTTACACTTGACAAGATATTTCCACGAAATTTGGCTCGACTTATTGTTTAAGACTTTGCTACAATATCTGAAGAAGTCGTTTAGATCGGACTACTATAGCATATAGTTGTCATACAAACTGACCGATCCAAATCAAATTCTGTGTGGCAGCTTTTGTGTTTGTGAAGAGTATTATAGTGTCGGTGCCACCGCAGTTAACGTTTTTTCTTGTTTATCCTGCCATACAAATTGTGAATTAATGCCGTTTCTGCATTAGCTTACGATTTTCCTGCAGGCCATGTGTATCCTTTAATACACGGCCGCACACGCTGCGCTTTTTTTATGTGGGTTTAGTTTAGCTTTCAATTTTTATATACTTTTAATGTTGGCTTTTTGACCTTAACACGCCGTGTGCAAGCGTGTTATATTATATACCTATATGTATGCAAATGTTATATAACGACATTAAAATACTTTAAAAATGCAATGCAAGACTTTCATTGAGCATCTTGCGAAATGTGCTAAGTTTAGCAATTTAAATTATCCACTTTAAACGTGAGCGGTTTTAATTTTTTGATCTAATTTTTGCTGTGCTGCCTGAAAGAGAGCGACAGATTTTCTGCTGAGAGTTATGGTGGCTATAATTCTAATGCATATTTCTAAGACTACTTTTCATATTTTTAAATAAAAACAACACAATGATTTTAATAAAATAAATAATTTAAATTCCACACATATTTTAATGATATATTAGCATCCTCTAATTTGTGCCTTATAAACCTTGTAAAGCTTTTAGGCATATCTTCACTTTCAGCAGTCGCTTCTTAAAATATGTTCTGAGATTTGCACAAATGTATGTTACTTATATTAAGCCAATAAATACTAAAATTTTCAACATAAAAATCTGAAATTATGTATTATATATTATAGTAATCCTCTTCACTTGCCACTCTACATTATTTATACCCGTTGGCTATATTTTGCGTAAGGTACAATATTATCATTTTTTTTAATGTTTGTCCGAGCTACTCCAGCTATGTTATTTGTAGTGAGCTCTTCGATATAAACTAGAGCTTAAAAGATATCGGTTTTATCGCAGAAGTTCACTCAAAGCTTTTCTTGCTTTTATATGCCAAACAGTGAACCGTTATTAGCAAAAACTTTTCGATGTCTTTCCAAGACAAATATTTTTTGCGTTACTCTGTGTTGTGGTAGTATCGCTAACCAAAACATCACGTCGGACGGCGCGCGCTTGCTGAGCTATTAGCACCTCAACCTCATCTCCATCACATCACTGTAAGTATTTCGCTTATTGAGCTTCAATCTTATATTTTACTAATACCTAAAGTAAGATAATTTTTATTAACGGTAAACAGTGTTGTAGATTAGAATGATACAAACTATACGAAATATTCACGACTATCTATATACTTTTAAGATCCGTGCTATTTTGAATGTTTCGATTTCGCTTGAACTTCGTACTTCCTTACGATTGCCGCCTTAACTTTAAAAACCACCTAAAGTTTCGTAAGAGGTTTTTATGTGTGCAGATT